TACTTAGAGCCAGAAAAAAAGATGAATCTGTTTATCCAGAAACGAGAATAAAAAGTGTAACAGTTGGAGCTTTAATAGTTCCAAGTTCATATCTTGCTTATGGATTGTTATTGGAAAATAATTTTTGTGGTTTTTTTTGGTGAGTTCAATGTTTAGATTTGTTCGGTTCTTTGATCATTATATTAACAATCACTTATTCCTTACAAAGGTTCATTTAGATTATTAATTGTTTTTAATCCATTGACAACTTATCTCGTTGATGCGTGCCCAGGTTTAGTGCTTAAATAGTAGCATTAATTAATTGCACAAGACTTATGACTGTTTGTGTTGTTGCAGTCGTTGGATGCCTATTATAAAATGCTATAGGGACTGGTTGATACTTTACTTTAATAAGTATGACATGTCTTCTATGTACCCTTCACTTGGTATTAGTGTACTTTAAAGGAAGGCAGTGGACACAAAATTTTCTTAAGGAGAATAGCAAACCTTTGGACAATTTCACGCTATAATAATTAATTAACAATATGGCAACAAAACTAACCGAGTGCAATGTTACAATGGTGTGTAACTAATTTAGTAAAATTTTCCAATGTTACACTTATTTCGCGCCAAAAGATAATTTTAAAGCCTAAGTGTTGCTTTGGGTGTGATGTTTAATTTGTTTTTTTTGTATTAAATATGAACAGTTTTGTATATCTTTCTTTAAACTTGTTTTTAATTTGTAAATCTTATTTTAGTTATTGATTTTCAATTTAAAATATTTATTTTAATTTTATTTATTTAAAAAATTATTTTAAAAAACATAATCTAATTCTAAGATTTGAAAAATATATTTGAATCATTATATTAAAGAGAATTTCTATTTGTACATGAGGTGTATGTACACGGCAATATAGAAACCACCTTCCGACTTCGAACAAAAAAAAAGTCCTTAAGATTTTAGTATAAACTATGCCTCGCCCCAATACCAAACCAACCCATAAATAAGGGTTTAATTTTTCATTTGTAAAAATTGTTTTAATCGGCATGTTACAAGAATTTGTAATTCAATAAATTAAACCGTGTACAACGATAAACACTACGTGTAAGCTAATAAATTTTCTAAAATAAAATAGGGTCAAATAATTATTAAAAAATCTAATTAATTATACAAAATCCTCTTACAATTTTAAGTTTTTTAAGAATCTGAAATCAAATTAATTTAATTCTAAATAA